ATAAGATAAGATTATTTGCCATTCAGCTGGATGAACACATGTATTTTCCAGTATCGGTAGGATAAGTGTGTGTAAGCAGACTGCTTTTTCATGACAGAAATGCAACACTGCAATACAAGCAATAGTACAGTAGCATCATTAGAACAACATAAGAACAAGACATGGGCCTACAAAAAATAATAATCATAAAAAATAAATAAAAAAGGGACATTGAGTAATGATTGTGCAGAGTAAATCATAATAATGTTTGCATTGATTTCATATCCTTAGTATTTGATTTCATCATCATGAATGTTTTAAAACCCATTTTATATTGGCCGAATTAAAGAATACTTCTTTTAAAAGAGTCGGACAATTCAGAAACCATTGGTTTAAATATATTTCACATGGAGTGGTACCCTACTGGTTTCACTGAAATTATTTGGGCATGTGTTCAAATGTGCATGTCAATATAAATGATGGATTGTGAGGTATGTATGATGATAAATTATGTCAAATTTTTAAAGAATTAAATATTTTAAAAAAGGCAAAAACGTCACTGTCTGTGGTAAAATTAGGTTTGAAGTACAAATGGGAAATCAACATTCACAGTAACGTTAACATCAAAGGTTATACTGATTTTTCCTCAAGCACAATGCTGTACCAGGTGAGCTACCGAGCAAGTTTACTAACTTAGAAAAGCCATACAAACAGTATGGAGCTGATCATGTGATGAAAACATGAAAAAGTGTAAGTTTACAAATCATGTGCTATGGTAAGAAAAAAAACAGTTGAGGCCATATTGTGCCAGGAATCTGATTCCTTATACTTTCAGTGAGCACAGCAATTAAATCTGCTAAAGTGTCTTGACTGATTCATAATTTCACCGTTCATTACGATGATGAGTCAAACAGGACCCCTGGGACACCCCATCCGTGTCCACGGAAGAGCATCCACACAGGAGACCTCCACGCAGCTGGTGAAGCCAAGGCCTCCAAACACACACTTCAGCCAAGATGCTAAATAATTCATTGACGTCAGCTGAAATATAATCAGGAGCTTGCACATAACAAACCCGTGCAGGGAAGCTAATCAATGCAGTTTTGCAAGCATACTGATATCTATTGTGTGTGCATCTATCAAACAAAGATACTGTATCACTGAACTGGTGCATGCATGTGTGCTTGGTATTCTGTAATGGTACAGTACAGATGGGTGCATGTGGGAGTACAGTAAGTGTGATGTCAGTGCTATTGCAGTGTATACAGTACCTGTTTCCTTGCTGGGTATCATCCTAATTAAGCCAAACTGCTTTGAAAGACACCACAGGCGACCATGCAACACTGCAGTCAGCCTAGCCTCATGCTGCCTGTTATCGCATGATTCCCATTAAAAACTATTTTTTAAAAGAACATTTTTTGTCACTGAATTCTCCTCTAGGCAACACAATTACATTAAGCCTCACATTCACAGAGCAATCGCTCAGCCATTACCCCATCACAGGAGCATTTCTGAGTCTCAGGGTGTGAGGAGGTCTCCTGTTCATCAACAAGACTGTGAAATAGCTCCAATTCTCCCTGTCACTTGAACTGACTGTTGCTGAATCGAAGAGACTGAATGCTAAAATACAAAAATGACAAGTGTGGGAAATTACAGCCTGCACACCAAAAGAGTTGCTGTCCGAATTTGGTATTGAACTGACTGTTGCTGAATCGAAGAGACTGAATGCTAAAATACGAAAATGACAAGTGTGGGAAATTACAGCCTGCACACCAAAAGAGTTGCTGTCCGAATTTGGTTTTCACATATGAAATGCAACTGCAGAGTTGCAGAAAGAAAGAAAAAACAACTTTTCTTCTTATAATAATTATTATGCAATAATGTAGAAACCTTCAAGACAGACTTATCATGAGTCTGAGATGCAAAAATGTATGAGGCCTGTAATTTATATTATTTTATTTATTTATTTATTTATTTATTTTCATTATAATGGTTAATAGTCAAACTTGGTGTAAGTTATGTTTCCATGGTGTGTGTACACACACACACACACACACACACAGCACTTTTGCTTCCAAACAAAGTTTTAATACTGTGATTCGTGACTTAGGACTCTTTATTGAAAACATTCTTGAAATGAAGATGGGGGTGACGGTAAGGTGGTCACTGATGAATTCTTGTCTTTGTCACTGTTTATGAAAATAAATAACCTTTGGTTGCTTTGTCGCTACAAATGGTTGTCAGTGTGAATGCCTCTTTAGAGGCTGTCTGTTATGTTGCGCAATTGTTTTACACTAGTAGCATTTCATTCTGCTGCTGTCTTTCAGTTTTGGTGTAATGGAAAATTTAGAATTGCATATGTAAATTAGTTGGCCAAAGTGTTTTAAATTCTTCCTCCTGCTTTGCGTCGACTGAATGCTCATTTGGAATTTGACATCATTATCGTCCCAGCGTGCCCTGTATTTGTGGCCGATTCTACCGGCTCCAATTAGGCTGAAGTCTAATTACTTTCATTTAGTAAGGTATTAATTCAGAATTCACCCTCTCCCCACTCTCATTAGTTCCGGCAGAATCTATCAGACAGTATAATTACAGTAGCCTGTTTGGAGTAGAAAAGGGGAAGAAATGAACAGAAAGTGCCCGTATGACATGACGATATTCATCGACTGACATATAAATGTGATTTCTGTTGCTTTATAGTTCATTTCGGTTGTTTTATTTCCTTGCTTGACATTTATGTCAAGTCAAGTCAAGTCAAGTCACCTTTATTTATATAGCGCTTTTAACAATACAGATTGTGTCAAAGCAACTGAACAGCATTAATTAGGAAAATAGTGTCAATAATGCAAAATGACAATAGTAAACACAAATTTTTCAGTTAAAGACAGTTCATCATTGAATTCAGTGATGTCAACATCCAGCTCAGTTTAAATAGTATCTTTGCAATCAAGTCAACGGTATCGCTGGAAATGAAGTGTCCCCAACTAAGCAAGCCAGAGGCGATTATGTGGTTTTGGTAGTTTTACATCTGGGTTATAGGTGGTGTGAGCGAACGGTATAGCCCTTTAAGGAGTTGTTTGAGCGTTTGGTTTATTGTAGCCATATATGTCTGGCTTGTTTCATTAGACCTTGAAAACTGCTGCAGGTCATCAGCCATCCAGGAGCTTTCCTGATGTCACACACAGATAGATCTACTCTGCTGTATGACCCTTCAGGCTGTACAAGATATTGTCAAAGCGATCTGGTTGTTCTCTCTCTGAGGATTAAGTGAGTGACTGTTCTGTTGTGCACTTTGTTGTGCACACAAATTAGAGTAAATCTGCCTTTCTTGTGCTTTATCACCTGTAGGGCATCTATGAACACCATCATCCATGGCTGTAGATCCCAGAAGGACATGTCCACACGTCCACACCAATCATTACCATCATTACCATTTACCACCATGTAAAGAGGACAAAGAGGATGCCTACAAAAGGGGGGGCAGAGTCTTGTACAATCATGCCAGAAACACACTGAATAAGGAGATTACAGTGGCCAAGAGGAACTACGCTAAGAAGCTAGAACACCAGTTTTCTGCCAATGAGCCTGCATCAGTGTAGAAAAGCCTGAAAGATGTCACCAACTACAAGACACCATCCCCCAGCACTGACTTAACAACTTGGAGCTGAACACCCTCAAAACAGTGGAGATGATCGTGGACTTCAGGAGGCACCCCACTGCACTCCCCCCACTCACCATCATGGATAGCACTGTGGCTGCAGTGGAGTCATTCAGATTCCTGGACGGCTAACGCTAATATAATGAGCATTAGAATGAATTTTGTTCAAAATAGTTTCTTTAACTATTTAATGCTCCTATAACTTTTATTTCTGGTCGGCGTTACAGAGCACCGAATACCAGGACAGCCAGGCACAAGAACAGTTTCTTTCCCAAGGCAGTCTACCTCATGAACAGCTAATGTTCTCCCATTGTGCAATTAAAGTATGTGCAATAACCTTATACTTATTTATCACCCTAAATCCTAGTACATCCCTACAACTTTATTCTATTCCTATTCTATCTATAGCACACCTGTACATACAATTTATTCTTTTTCGTGTGGTTTATATTTATATTTATGCATGTGTATTTTATTCACATCTTATTTTTATTATCTGTGTGTTGTTGTTGTCTCTGTGTACTGGAAGCTTGTGACACTATAACAAATTCCTTGTATGTGCAAACATACTTGGCAATAAAGCTCTTTCTGATTCTGATTCTGATTCTGATGTAAATCAATAGGGCAAGATGCCACTGGCCACCCCTTATTGACCCTCTTGACCATAGATGGCCCAAAATCTCGTCTCAATACATTTAATGAAAGGCTTTAATCCTATTAGTTTTGTCAGTTCATCTGAACATGAACATTTGTGCAATTTAGGCAGTCAAAACAGTTTTGAGGTTAATTGATCTAATTTCGTGCCTTTGTAAAATACTGTTTTGTGACATTGTATTATATGGAATATCAACGTGTTTTGTGTCTCTTAATAGAGGGTTTGTGGACAAATTAATCTTTTTAGATTTGTGGAAATATTGTCTTTATTTTGCCAAAAATTGGTAAGGCTTGAGTGACATGTTACTAGTGTTATTATTATTATTTTTTTATAATTTATTATTATTATTATGAACTAATTACATTGATGTGTAAGCTATTTTAGTCATCTTCACTTATTAAAATCTATATTAAGTGAAATTGAGTGAAATAATTAAATTTGAATATAAAAATACGAGCAATTAAATATTTATATATATTCATATGCCTTTATATCATTTTACATAGATAGATAGATAGATAGATAGATAGATAGATAGATAATGTCACATTAACAAAAAATATAAATGTATTATTATTATTATTATTTGATAATGGGGATATTTATTTTTGTTAACGACTTCATTAATGAAAGTGTTGAACGTTAAGAGTAAAGCCGTTATAAATGCAGCACGTCTACGGGTGTTGTCTAATGTAGCCAGCAGGAGTCTCATGATCTCAGGCTGGCCGCTGCAGAAGTTTGGATTGATGAAAGTTCAGAGCGCGGAAGTGAAGAGAAACTTTCGCATGAATCTCTGCAAGAGAGCGACACTTTCCGCGTTTGAGTGTGGATAAGGATGCTAATGATGAGACGGATCCGCCAGTCTGTCTGAGGAAACACGGAGTTGCACTGTTCTGTGAGGCTTTATTTCAGGTCTGATTATGGGGTTGCCGACTCTAGAGTTCAGTGACTCTTTTGTGGACAGTCCGGACTTTAGAGAGAGACTCAAATGTCACGAGATCGAGCTGGACCGAACAAACACGTTCATCAAAGAGCTGATTAAAGATGGACACCAGCTGATCTGCGCGCTCAAGAGTGAGTACACAACACATCGCTATAATAACACCCGCATCTCTACTATCACCGCTAATGTTGGCTGTATCTCAATACCTAGAGTGCTGTCTACTTAGAAAGCATGTGGTCACTATAGGCGTGTTTTAAAGCGCGCGTGGGCTGTTCAACAGTGGTGTCTAGGTAGGCGTCTCACTAGGTTTTGAGACACAGCCAACGTGATGACTGAGAAATATCAGTTTGTTTATTCTCCCCTGTGATCACAAATAATACTAATAATAATAAAACATGGAACACTTTTATTAAATAAAACAACAACAACAACAAACATTACTCTTATTTCCAAAAATGGAAAATGCACAGATGTCCATTTTTTTTATTTCAAAAAGACACAAAATCACTGGTAAAATTACTGTATCTAACAATTAACACAGCATGAAATGTCACTGGTTTTAATCGCATCAGACAAAATGATTTTAGCTGAATGCAATGATTTTAGCAAAATGATGTGATATTTGAATTCTTTTAAAACATAATATTTAGCTTAACCCTGTTACTGCATGTTGTCCCTTCTATTAAAAAAGCATGATAGGAAACCAAGTAAATAATCTCATTACATTTGCTCAAATTATGCACAAATTGTAGTGTTGACAGCATCTCTCAAGATCAACACAGTCAACAAACACACAATTACCAATGAAACATTTTGTATTTAATTCATTAAAAAATACTTACTTTTAAGTTGAATTGCAGCCCTGTATTTACAGGGCAACCTTGTTAACCAGTCGAGCGTTCTGTAGAACATTTCATCTAAATTTCCATATGTGTAATCAATGTTTATTGCTTTGAATTTAATTTAAATTGAAACAGCACATGCATACGGACAAGCAAGATTCTAGCCTTAGTTTGCAGCTTTTTTATGAAAGTGACATATTAACAAATGCTATTTCGTTATAAATATGCTTGTCTGATCAGATAAATGTATGTACATTCAAATAGACATAGTTAGAAATGTTCTGAAATTTTGACTAATACATTTTGATGTCATATGTAATGTGTTAAGGTAGCCTAACTATAAAATGACAGAAGTTTAGAGATTTTTTTTTTTCTGGTCAGGGTAGAGACAGAAAAGGAGAACAAACATTTTGAAATGTTAAGTGTCAACATTTCTATTTCAGTTCATGTTTGAATGTTTGCGTGATAGTATCTTCTCTTCAGAGTTTATCTGAAGTTCTAAATGGCGAATAGTTTACTGATCAAGGCCATAGATACACTGAGACTGCTGTGATTCTCAGTGTAGTCGGTCACTAGAGGCTTTCGGTTTATTAGCCACTTACACTGATGAGTGCTTTTCTTGAAAAAAGAATCATGGTGAAATTCAGGTGATTTTTTTTGTTTTCTTTTAGACCTAAATAGTCTAAGGATTAAAATGAGTATGCCAAAGGTGCTCAGATGGTGTATTTTCAACCTGATTTCATGGAAAAACCTATGGTGATTTCATACAATGTGAATCGATTTTTAAATATTTACATTTTGAAATATGCAGCTGTTTTTGCATCCTTGCATGCTTTTTCAGCTAGTAATTTTCTGCCAGATGCATGAATGTAGATGTACTGTAAAGTAGAGTGATCAGATGCATTTTAAATAATTGCTAAAGGCTTCATTGGGCAAAAAAAATTTGCTGGTGCTTGCTGGACACTCTGGGATGTCCTGAAGACTTCTTCACTGCAGTCGACAAATCCCAAAGTTATTTTCTCTGATGAAGCTCCCTTTCGACTGTTTGGGATATCTGGAAAATCGATTGTTTGGAGAAGAAAAGGTGAACGCTACCATGAGTCCTGTGTTGAGCCAACAGTGAAGCATCCTGAGACCATCCATGTGTGGGGTTGCTTTTCAACCAAGGGAGTGGGCTCTCTCATAATTCTGCCCAAAAACACTGCCATGAATAAAGAATAGTATCAAAACGTCCTGCAAGAGCGACTTCTTCCAACGATCCATGAGCAATTTGCTGATGATCCGTGCATTTTCCAGCATGATGGAGCACCATGTCACAAAGCAAGAGTGATAAAGAAGTGGCTCGAAGATCATTACATTGAAATGTTGGATCCGTGGCCAGGCAACTCCCCGGATCTCAATCCCATAGAGAACCTGTGGTCAGTCCTCAAAAGGCGAGTGGACAAGCAGAAGCCCATAAATTGTGATCAACTCTGAGAATTAATAAGGCAAGAATGGATCGCCATCATTCAGGATTTGGCCCAGAAGCTAATATCCAGCATGCCAGAGCGAATTGCAGAGGTTATGAAGAACAAGGGTCAACACTGTAAATATTGACTCATTATATTTTTGTGCCAATAAAAGCCTTAAAACTTATTATATGCTTATCATTGTTTTTCTGTATACCATAGAAACATGTGGGAAAATAATCTACAAATACTGAAGCAGCAAACTTTGCAAAACACAACATTTATGTCACTGCCAAAACTTTTGGCCATGACTGTACTGTGTGGGGAATGCTGGAATTGTGATTGTAGAGGATTGTGGGTAAATACAGTATGAGCCCCTGCCCCCCTCAAGGTTGCCCCCCTGGATTATCTGATTCCCATGCCAATGCCGTGAAAATGCTGTGGCTTCTTTTGTGTGTGTGTGTGCAGGGCTCTAGACTCTTTCTTCCAAGTTCCAACTGGTCATATTGATGCGACTAACTTTCTGAATTGGTCGCCCAAGCACATGATTTGGTCGCACTTTAAAAAAATTAATTGATTAATTGCAATATCTGTCTGTATGTCTGTCAGGCTTGCTGCGGCAGTTGGTGTTACCGGTATTACCTGGTGTTCGGTCATACACCGAATACATTACTTACCCAACGCGTTACCCCCACTGTCTTTTTGCTATTTTAAAGAATTAAAAACTATTAAATTCAGTTGGACAACAGACGCTACAATTGTACAAATTTACAATTTTTAAGGTAATCTGCTATCGACCTTTTAATTTTTTTTCCATCAACTTAATTCCTAAATTTCCTGAATTCCTAATTTGCGATTGAGTGCGTGACGACGCAATGACACAAATGTGGCCACGTCAAATTTGAACTCGCACATTCTCAAAAAACGGTCGCAGGCTAGAGCCCTGGTGTGTGTGTGTGTGTGTGTGTAATTGAGACTTTCAATATTATGTGGCACTACTGACCTTCAAACATAGAAACAAAAGATAACTTTTTTGTCACAGAGTCACCAGCAACGCCAGATTCTTCAGCTCCACCCACTCGTTCACAATCACCAGAATTCTGATGCACTTCACCTGTCAGCACCAATCAAGTCACAATATAAAACCACCAGTTTTTAGTGAATTCCACATTAGCTCTAAGATAACAGCAGACAATGGTAGAACTGTCTAATGTTAATAGTAATAATTCAACCAACAATGAAAATTCATTCATCATTTAATCACCCATGTCGTTCAAATCTTGTCAGACTTTGTCCAGTTCTGAAGACTGTGCTGGTCTTTATATCTATGCTTTTTATTATTTTACAGTGAATTTTGTAAAACTTAAAAAAGGACACAAAAGTGTAGAAGTGTAATATAAGTGGTCAGTGTGACTTGTGGATTATATTTAGTCTTCCGAATCCGTATGATAACTCATTGTTGAGTCAATGAGTTGAACTTAACAATCAGATCAGTTCGTTTGTGAATGAATCATTCGGAACACTGGATCAATGACTTAATTAAAGGAATAGTTCACTCAAACATGAATATTTGCTGAAAATGTACTCGCCCTTAGAATATCCAAGATATAGATGAGTTTGTTTCTTCATCTGAACAGATTTGGAGAAATTTAGCATTTTATTATTTGCTCACCAATGGATCCTCTGCAGTGAATGGGTGCCGTCAGAATGAAAGTCCAAACAGTTGATAAAAACATCACAATAATCCACACGACTCCAATCCATCAATTATCGTCTTGTGAAATGAAAAGAAACATATTTCTATTTCAGTTATGTGAAACAAATCCATCTTTAGACAAATCCATCATTAAGGCATTTTAACTTTAAACTGTTGCTTCTGGCCAAAATGTGAATCCATAATAACACTTGCTTCAGTAAAAAAAGTCCTGTTGTCCTCTCACATCAAAATCCACTGACATACTGTGTTTGTTTAGAATGGTTTGGGCTATTTTTGCTTGTAAATGGTGCTTGATCTGTGCATATTTCTCTCCTGATGCAAACGAAGCAAATTTATCCCTGGACAAAGCAATATTGTACTGTAGATAGAGAACTCCTATTTTAGCCATAAGCCACGTTTGAATTTAAAAATGTCTTGATGAATTGTTTATTACAAACATGCTGTTTTTTTCCCCTTTACAAGACATTAATTGATAGACTGGAGTCATGTGCACTATTGTGATGTTATTGTGATGTTACTTGTGGATTATCATCAAACATCTCTCATATAGTCTCATTATGGTGTCACAGATAGCTGGGACTGATGTCAAGATTTTTAGTGAATAATGTTTTAAATTTCAGACTTCATCACACAAAGCTATCAACTGGCTTCAGAGGACTTGAAATACCATACACAAGGAATATGAACTTCTTTTGCATTCTTTTTGAAGCTTGCAAGCCTCAGTTATAATTCAGCTGCATGTAAAAGAGCATATAAGCGGGATTAAAAATCTCTCCTTTTGTGTTCCGTGGGAAAAACGAGGCTTGGAACAGCATGAGGGTGAATAAATTATGACATAATTTTTACTTTCAGGTGAACTATTCCTTTCGAGTTACTTGCCTATCAAAGTTACTTTCTGTGACACTCATAAAACTCTTATGTCCTTTAGATTACTTCACATGGCACACACAGACACAGACTTGCAGTTTAATACAAAAACTTTCAAAAATTGTACAAAGGAATAATTGTCCTAAAAGCTCTGTTTCACATAGGTCTATATGATTCCTCTCTGTACTGTAAATGTGTTGCTTTAACCTTGCTTTCTACCCAGCAGGAAACTTTTAAAACTAGCATTTCTTTTTAGC